GAGCAGGGAGCCCGATGCGGGACTCGATCCCAGGACCCTAGGATCATGACCTGAGCTGAAGGCAGTCGCTTAACCAACTGAGCCACCCAGGCGCCCAGGGAACGGTGCATTTTCAAGGGGCAGACACCACACGGCTCCTGTCAGCTATCCCCTGTTGGCGGCCGCAAAGATCAGCCCCCCGTGCTGAGTGATAGCTCCCCACATAAAGTACTTACATAACCAGCTAGTCCCCAGTTGTCATTTTCAAACTTGCTTACAAAAATATCTGCGGGACCTTTAATTTGAAATGCTTTCAGAAGTAAGTGAGCTTCTTCTTTCTTGTAAACTCCTACCAAAAAAATCAAAGTCAGTTATTCTTACACTGTAGGAATTCACAAGGGTTAATAACTCATTCATTCTGTTTCATTTGTGGTACAGTACAGAGATGACAATATTAGAAATAACAAATTCTTTTTATTCTTAATTTATAGCTTCAGTCCTTCTGTTTTCTTTAAAAGCACTTCCTGTTTAAGTCTTTTCCTATCTTGAATGGGTACAACCCATTTCATTAAATTCAACATATTTATCCCACAGAAATAAAGGTAATATACATTCAACTAATCTATCATTTTTAATCCATATTGTACTCATTTGTGAGGACAAAGAGACCGTGACCATAAGCACGGATATTGCTACTTCTACAGATGAATTGCACCTGTTGAAATGAAATGAACAGCATGGTGGACAAAGTGTGTCAGGCATGCTCGCATCACCAGCGCGATTCTGGGCAGGAGGGACTCAGTGATCACACCTCTCAGCCACCTGTCAGGCAGCTGGAGTGACAGCTCAATTTCGCCCAGAGATGAGAGGTCATGGTGTGGCCCAGGCGGGCGGGGAGTGTGTCTGCAGCCAGAGCTAGCTCCTGACCCACTGGAGGAAATAGATAAATAAATAAACAAACAAGTATTAAATGGACAATAACACACCCAAGCGTCCTCTGGGCCGGGAAGACAGGTTCAAGAGAGGATCACGCTGCTAGTTTCAGGGAATGCAGCACTGAACTCCTACTAACTCAAAACAGAAGCAAATCTCTACTGTCCTAGGCATGGTCCCCACTGCCTGGGAGCACAGGGTGGAGAGAACTGCTTGTTCAGGCCAGAGGACAAGAAGGGGCTGCCTGAGGCTTCATTTTGGGTGGGAGTCCGTTTCTACCCCAGGCAGCTCTGTGCTGTTGGCATCCAATTTAACCGGTAAAACTCTGAACCCCAGGATGATAAGCCATCAGTAGACGTAATGAGATACACACTCATGAGTTTTGCTGTGCTGATCCAACAGCAGCACCAACAGAGTATCAGTGTGGCGGCTGACACTCCACACCTGTCAGCTCCCTTCCTCCCCTGTCTTTTTAATCACAGTTCACATGCCCAGGACCCTCTGTGTCCACTGGGACTTGGCAGGAGCAGCCCGTGATGCAAACACCCTCCCAGGCCTGGACCGTAGACATCCCAGCTCTGCTCCATGGAGGCTGTCTGCATCAGTCACAGGGCAGCATCTTCTTCGGGTAAGAATAAATCCAAACTCCACGAAGAGAAAGATTAGCCCATGCAGCTGGCTAAGACGGAGGGATCTGGATATTTAAGAAGTTCCTCAGTGGATTCTGACATGCATGTAGATTTGAGCCCGTGGCCTAAATCACTTATGCATTCACAGGCTCGAGGTGCGAAACTGTGTGTGGGCCAGGAGACCACAAACTCACAATCAGATGCCTGCCAAACTTCGTTGCGTATAAATGATTTTGTTTTTCCTAAATCCAGGGGCTTAGGTGTTTTCCACTTTCAGGAAGCAGGAAAGCAGAATGGGAAGAATGGGCGGGAGGCTGACCTGCCATCGTACTTTCTAAAGGTCAAGCATGCATCTGTCTGGTGATGAGCGAAAGAGCAGAAGCCATTCGGGAGCCTTTTAGTGTTCAGACCCAGGGCTGCCTTGTGGTTAACTCAGAAAATTCCAGCCCTCATGGGGTGGGTCTGTAGAAAAGATTACATGGTTGTAAGAAGTGACATAAATGAAATTTTTTTAGAAGACACTAGATACAGTCCTAAAGGTGATACTATATCTTAGTGGGTAAGAATGTAGGCTCAAGGTTCAGATTTCCGAGATTCTGATTCCTGAGTTCAAATGCTACCTCTACCATGTCATCTTGGGAAGGCCACCAGTTTCCCGGGTCTCTCTCTATCTCTCTGTTTCTCTCTGTCATCAGTAAAGAATGTGTCTGGTAAGAATGCTCATATCATAGGATTGAGGTAAGAATGAGAAAGATAATATATATAAGTACTTAAAATGGGGTCTGGCATCTAAATCAAAGTTGTTGTTATTTTATTAACAGTGGAATGACCAAAAAAAAAAAAAAAATCTGAGGAGCACATGAGTTGAAGAGAAGGATACTGTAAGAATGAAGTCTATAGACATGCGTATCTGGATATAAATCTCACACCTTTGACTCATTATGTCACATGCATAATCTGGAACAAATTAATTAGATTTTCTATACTGGTTTTGTAATCTTTAATGAGGTCATACCAACCTACCACAGTTATCGAGAGGATCCCATGAGATGTAGCTTACGCAAAGCCATGTAATGTTAATAAGCATTTAATCAATGTTAGCTCTCTCCTTGTGAGAGGATAAAGGGTATGCTTCTGATCACATTCTGTATTTCATAAAAGGAAATGCCTCAGGGCCTACCTGTCAATTTCAGCTCCACCTGAGAGGCTTCAAGGAAGGTGGCGTTCACCTTACTACTTGTCGCATTGAACCAGTCAACTGTTAGAGTCGCAGGTTGTCTTTTCCCTAAATATTCATAATATCCCTTCCACACGGAATTGATAAAAAATACATCGGAAGGAACTGTTGGGGGGGAGAAAACCAGAAGAATGTTAGCACACACAGAAAAATCAAATTGAGATCTTTTTTGCAACACAGAGGCATACTAAGTGTCAAGTGAGAGATCACAATCAGGATGGTGATGAGGATAGACATGACCTATCCCAGGCCCTTCACAGCGTAGGTGTGATGGAAATGAAATGAGGAGGGAGATTTTGTGAGATGCATATACAGGTTCATTTGTTAATTTGTTGGAGAAATATTTTAGGTGCCAAAGCATTACTGTTTGAAGGGATCTGCCAAGGCCAGAGGGTGTGATGAGTCAGTGCTACCTCTAGGAGGGCAGGTTCTTATGCCATAATGAGAAGAACTTGGCTGATCTACTATTGATATTTCATTAACATCTAGGTGAACTCTTTGGAAGACTTAGAAAGCTCAGAGAGTTGACATGTGTCCTCTGCCAGGAGTTCCCTGATCTCAGAAAGCTTGCACTTGAAATCACCAGTGGAGGACACCTGCTCAGGTCATGAAGACAGAGCTGCTCTGGGTCCAGAGGTCTTCACCTCTCGAGGAGAGCCCAACCCGCTCACCCACGCTCCTCCATGCTTGTGAAAAACACTCCCAGACTGCGAACAAAGTCAGAGCCAATGGTGTCAAATGTCGTGTATGTAGAGAAAGATGCGTTTCTCCCTAAATATGTTTTTTAGCAAATCCACTTGCAGCAACCAGTGATGAGCCCACACATAGACTGGGCCCGTGTTCATGGGTCCCTTTTCAGGGCCATTTCCTTGTCTTCCCAGACCAGCTCCACCCATAAAACCTACCCTAGCCATGGAGGAGTTCATGAAGAAGAAAGTGTCATCACTTCCTGTGGCTCTCGGTAGACTCAAGTTGTAATAATAACTTTTAAAAGTTAAATCGGTTAGAAACTATGATGTAAGCACAGACATCTAACACATTTGCTTATTGATAAGGGACGTTGGATATGTCTGCCTGTCCGTTGGTGGCCGCACAGGGGCCTGGTTCAAATGTCAAACCCAAAGACTTTCTTTTCCTTTACCAACCTTAACAGCCTTTAGAATAGTGTCAAGATGGTTTCCCTGCATTAGAATGTCCCACTCAGGGGAAGCTATGAATGGACTCGTTCAAGCCCGTCAGTGGAGCGAGACTCTTGGCTGGCTGGCTGGTGTGTCTCACAGATGGGTGGTGCCTGACTGGGCACAGTAGGTGCCACCAGTGTGTGAGAGGCAGCTTGTTTGTATGCAAATATGGCCATGGGCAACGTGGCAGAGGTGGGCCTTTGGGGCCCTTCTCATTTACAGTGTAACACCACAACCGGACATTGAGGTGTGTTACGATTCACTACCTGGACAAGGAACCATGTTCAATTAGCAAGACCGTTCTGAGGGAATGAGAAGAGGTGTACTGAGGAGAATGGATGCACCTTCAAAATAACGTATGCAAGTATTTCGGTATCTTAAACAAAAAAATAAGCAAACGAAAACAGAACAAACACACCACCACCACAACAGATTGTTTCCTTCCCCTGAAGAACATGTTCCTGGATAAAGAGTACTGATTTCTGTATTTGATTTGAACTCAACATTGAAATAGAATCATTCACAACGATTTTCGGAAGTAGTTTGTATAATTCATGGTGTACATTGGAAAAAGTCCTTTCATCATGTTGGGACATTTGCCCTTGTCTGAGACTGAAGTGTGTAACACAGCCTTGTGACTTAACAAGAGCATCACATAAATGGTCTCCACAGTCGATGTCAGAATAGACCTCCCTGTCTGAGAAATCAGTGTTAAAACCTGAATAAGGAAAACACTAGGGAAATGACCTTATATAAGTTTTCTATTTCTGTTAAAAAAAAAAAAAGGTTGACTTAAGTTATAATTTGGGGACACACTGAATTATTAAAATAGTCTCTATATTTGTAACACAGATAGAATATGCCAGGTGATTTGGAGTAGTGAGCATCTTCCTTAGGAAACAGGACTGCATCTTTCCGATTTTCCATGTCATGCATTGAGCAACGCACCACATAGAACAAAGAGCAATAATGAACATTTTAGGAGGCAGAGGATGCCTGAATTATGGAGATACTTGGAAAAAAAAAATGGGGCTCCACATTTGTACTGCTCAAGGGGACAGGTGATGCTGTCACAATGCTTCATTTACATTAGCTTCCTGTTTAGAGGAAAGAATTGCAACCCTCTTTATAAGGCTCTCCATTATATCACATTCTATTATCAATATTTTATGTCCAGTTCTGCCCGCAAAATGCCTGAGGCCCCTTTTCATGAGACAGTGTGTGATAATGCAAAAGGTATTCCTCCTAAGTCAAGTCTTGTTATTTCATTGACCAACCACCGTTATGGAAGAGAGAGGAATCTGTGTAGACTCAGTGTTTTCCATAATTGAAACGTTAACTCGTTCATGGACTAATGGAATCGGAAATTTGTGTGTTAAAATTTGTTTCACTGTGCAGAGTAGAGAACAAGTCACTTATTGGATTTAAATCTAGAACTGTTCTGGTATACAAACCTGGAGTTTTAGTAACTGTTTCATTAACTTCTCTCACTCCTTTACCTACAAGTAAAAAGACAAATTATCATTTTCAAAAACATGTATTTTTGAATAAGTCTGAAAAAATGTCAAATTGAAGCAATTTTCCTTTCTCCAGATTTCTTGAAGTTCTACTAAATATGAATGTCATATACATATCCACTTTAAACCCCTGTATTCACAGCAGAATATCCTTTGTGTTTGTAGAAAAATGGAGATTACAGGTGCCAACCAATGCAGCTCTAAGAGGTGTGGTGTGTTACAACAGAGAGCCTTGCAAATGAGGGTGGTTTATGGCCCTTTGCTCACTCCTATTTGGGATATGCTGGCCGCAACGGAAAGGTAGCCTACAAAATAACTAAGATTTCATAACCTCTCTTAATTTTCCAAGTCCTCACCCAAATCAATGAAAGTACGAGTCGATATGAAATAACACCAAATTGTTTCCCTTGCAGAGTGTTTAATTTGGTCTATCAAGTTGGATGTAACTCAAAATCTCTTAGCACTTACAGTTCTGTGTCAAACTACAAATTACCTTTTTAAAGTTTGTATTCTTCCATTTCTGACAGAGAAGGGCAAGGGAAACACAAATATCTTATGAATTCCTAATTTGAAAACTATGAATAGGCTCCAAGAAAGTAAAACTAAAGTCACAGATTTTATCACACTCCATAATTTTTGCTTTTGCTGTTTAGTATTTGATGCCTCTATGATCTATGTTTGGTGGGGAATCTGAGAAGTCAGCTATCGTCACATCCAACCCTGATTTATTACTCTTATTTGTAAATACACAAATTTGTAATTAATGCATTTTCATGCTAATTGCCTTTGTAATTAAAAAAATATTTGAACCAGTGTGAAGAATATGTAAGTGTATATTCCACCACCAAACAGCTTGTGGTCTTAAGAATAACAGATAGTTTAATTTATATATCCACCAATGCTTGGTGATGTTTGCCATTTTCATTTAAAAAATGTATATTTTCCAAAACTATGGTGTATATTCTTTCCTTTTAACTCATAATGCTTTTCTAGAAGCAAACAGCTTCTCTCCATGGCTGGAAGTGTGAATAGCAAATAATACTATCTACATGTCTGCTTCGACTATGCCTCCACCCTTGTACTGAACACTTACTACGCACACGTTCACACACACAGCTCACCACATGAACACAGATTCAGCTGGGGTGACTGACATCACTTCCAGGATGCTGTTTCCTGATGGATCTTAAACCTGGAAGCTAGCCTGATGGGCTGCCGGCGCTCCTCTTTGCTCTGCAGGGATGTGTGTTCACTCCCTCATCAGTGACTTACTTTTACAGACAGGTGATTTTCCTGTCCATTTCATATCTGCTTTACACGTCCTGTGCTCAGACCCGGCCGCGAGGAAAAATCCCGGATGGCAGGTGTACACTAAGGTGTAACCGAAGGTGGGGAGATCTATCGCTCTCACATCCGCATGGGCTGGCGTTTCTGGCTGTCTGCAGGCATGGGCTGAAATGGCATATATTCCATTAGAAAACACTGACGCTTTGTTTATCTTATAGTTAGCATATGCATCTAAAGAAATAAGGAAATATGGCAAAATTTGGAAATGGCTGTAAACTCAAAATTACAACTCAAAATTCCAAATACGGTAGCTATAAATATCCCCACTATCCTCTGCAACTTTTAATATAATGAACCCTTGGATTTGCCAGCCCTCTCTACTGTCCCTCCATCCTTCCCTCCCTCTAAATATCTATCTATCTATCCATCCATCCATCCATCTAGTATCCCTCTCTACATTTAAGTGTGTACAATTAATTATGTGTACCAATTTAGAATATAAATCATAGTGTTGAAATAAATAGATCACTTCTGATATACTATTTAGATAAATAATATGTTAATTTGCCTTAAAAGACCAGTCCTATAAGTTAAACACAATTGGCACATACTTAGAAATACGCCTTGATTTTTGTCTGATGGCAGCTAAGAAATCTGTTATTCAGTTAAATGAGTAGTTAATTTTGGTAAAAACTTGATGTGTGTTTAGAAACCTAATTGAAATATTATAGATTCTTATTTCCCTTAAAATCTAATTTAGGAGTGAATAAGATTGCAATGTTTAAATCTCAAGTAACTTCTCATTCTTTATAAAGTTCACATATATGTCTCAAATAAAAGACTTGGCAGATGCATATAAAACAAGTGGACAATATTAAAATTATACATACAATTGTTTTAAGTATCATAATATTTTGTACTTCAGTAAATTTTCAACATATGAATACCTGATATTAGCCAGCTCCAAGCTGTACAGATACACACACACGTATATATACACATATATGCATACCTGTGTGTGCATATAATATTCACATATATAATTTGACTAGAGTATTAGCCATGATAACTTTGAAATAAATATACATCTGATACTGATAAATAAATACACAAAAATCACATCTTACATACGATTAAAATAATTTTTCATAACATTCTATTTTTTTATGTTTAACACAGTAAGAGTAAGATTCTGTATCTCACTAATTTGACAGAGGATGAAATACTGGCTTACAGATGATTCCTATAACATTTCTTCTATTTCTCATGATTAAGTCAAAAAGTAAAATTTGATCCTGAGTAACGATTTGAATGATCAATTCATATAGACTTCAAAAATAACATTTAAGATATTTCTATTAATATTGTGACATATTCCATGATCTATTTTACCCTTCTTTAATGACTTGATGTAAACATTCTAGAAGAATAATAGCACGCATACAAAAGCTTTCTTCCTGCGAGTGTAACTGATGTCATTCACTTGTCTTCGGTTTGGGCAGGTTCTCAGATTTGGGTGTGCCCCGTTACCGCCTGGCGTGCCCGGTGAATTATAGACTGCTGTCCCTCCTCTTTGCTCCCACCCGCACCCCAGCCCCCGAGTTTCTGATTCCGAAGGTCTGGGGGTGAGGCTTGAGAATTCAAATTACTACCCATGTTCGCATGTGATGCTGATGCTGCTGGTTCTAGGGAATCAAACTCTGAGAAATTCTGGTTTAGAGAATCAAAGATGATCAAATGAACAAAAATAAGGCAGTTTCTCATTAAATCCCTCGAGGGTAAACACTTCCCAGACGTTCAAGAATGAACAGGCCATTGCTGGCTGTGATGGAAGAAATCACACTTACGTATACACTCAGTCTGAATTCCACTCCAGGTTAAATTTGCAAGGCAAGTGCGAGTCGTAGAACCTTGAATGTGGTAACCTTTTCTGCACCTGAAAAACACCGTGCTTCCAACCTATGGAGGAAATCCAACATTAGCTTCCGGGGCAGAGTGGACAACATGAGCGATATAAAGTCGTCATGCTGGAAAGCACAATCCAGGGTAAGATGTACCAGTGATATTTCTCATCAATGTCAGGCCATTGTTGTTCACACTGTGTGATAAGGCTAGGTAGCTCCATGCGTGAGGAAAGATACCACTAGATACAGTGAATTGTGGTCAGTGAAGAGGGAGGTTATTTGGGTAACCAAAGTATGCATTTTCTCTTTCATTTTAGCCCCTCCTCTCTTTGGTTTGTAAGTTTTTTTTTTTTTTTTTTTTCGCTTTTCCATTTTTTTCCCCTGCTACTCCAGTTGGTATTTATTAGCATGTCCTGGCAAATGGGCTACACTATTCACTAGCAGGAAGATAATGGAGAGCCTCTCTCATGGAGTGGTAGGAAGAAAATACAGTGTTCTTCTCAGTAAAATATCTTTTAGCAGAAGGCTGCTGGCCACTCCAGACTGATCGCTGTAAATTCACCTGGTGTTTATGAATTGATGGGACATGGAGGACTGGAGACTGGAGGGTAGTCATTTAAATTGCATAATTAACACAGCAGGACAGGGGATGTTCTAAGACTAAAATGGCTCACTCTGCATGAGTACGTGAGTACATTTCAGAATACAGTGCTGAAGAAAGCAAACAAAAATCTGTTATATTCAAAACTTAATGTGTCCTAATGAAAAAGAAAGAAAAAAAAAAGTTTTGAGGAGATTCCTTTAATAGTGTCAGGCACCTCTTTAAAAGATAGCACCTGTGTCTTTAAATTGTTAGCAAAGCTTGCTTTTGGATACAATGTATCATTTTTATTAGTGTAATTTTATTTTATTGTAAGAGGCATGAGAGATTTATCCATTAGTGTCTTAAGAGAGATCACAGGGATATGTTGCTGAATGCAGTCACCATAAATGTTGACTTCACACGGGCTCTTTGGGGGCAGATTTAGAAGTGCTAAAACCAATGGTGAGTTAGCAAGAGCATTACTCACATACAGTATTTTCCAGTATTCCCATATATGTGGCATTACAGTTCTATACACCAGAAAGCATTTCCCTGAGGACAGTTGAGATCTAATATCAAATGCACCAGATTTAACTCATTAGGTACCTGTGAGACTTTCATTTGTGGGGTGTAAGAATGCCATCAGGAAGTAGCCAGTGTGTGTTAGAGCCAACCAAATGGGACTATTTTAAGTTTCAGGAGAGACTGGGGGAAGAGGCTGAAGAAAAAAGTCTTTTATTCTAAATTAATGGGATCTCTAACTTGAAAGCATATACATATTTAACTTGAGCTTTCAAATCCACATCATACAGCTCTGAAGTCACTACATTACTTTAGGTGGTGGAAACATTTTATTTCAAGCTCCATTACCTTCCATGTTTAGGTATTCTAATATTACCTGAAGCGTTCATGTACTTTTTATTTAAAAAATAAAGTGAACGGCATACATAAATCATATGACCTCACTGATATGAGGAATTCTTAATCTTAGGAAACAAACTGAGGGTTGCTGGAGTGGTGGGGGGTGGGGGGGATGGGGTGGCTGGGTGATAGACATTGGGGAGGGTATGTGCTATGATGAGCACTGTGAATTGTGTGAGATTTTTGAATCACAGACCTGTACCTCTGAAACAAATAATACATTATATGTTTAAAAAAAAGAAAGAAGATAGCAGGAGGGGAAGGATGAAGGGGGGAAATCGGAGGGGGAGATGAACCATGAGAGAGTATGGACTCTGAGAAACAAACTGAGGGTTCTGTAGGGGAGGGGCATTAGGGGATGGGTTAGCCTGGTGATGGGTATTGAAGAGGGCATGTTCTGCATGGAGCACTGGGTGTTATGCACGAACAATGAATCATGGAACACTACATCAAAAACTAATGATGTAATGTATGGTGATTAACATAACACAATATAAATAAATAAATAAATAAATAAATAATCAAATGAATGGCAGAAGCGATACTGAGCATGCTAGTAATTCATATAGAGAGATCACCTGCAAGAGAAATGTCACAACATAAGCTTAGGCTAAAGGGCCCAAATGCATTTTCTCCTGTTTTGGTCTCCAAAATTTAATATTCTTTTCCCATTATATCAGGTCACTAAGCAGGGTCTCTTTCTGTGTAGCTATTCAGTGACCAGTCACTCTGATTTGAGAATTGCCATGTCAGTTCAGGAGACAAAAAGCATCCAACTACGCATACCTTCAAACAGAAATTAATATGGCAATTGCTACCTTGTGAATGAAGATACATCCAGTTATCCCAATTTTGACAGTTAAAATATCATGCAGAAATCCTCTCTGAATGTATTTATTTCAGAAATATACCATGAATCTGACAGGGCGCATAAAAACACACACATATGTTCAAGCATCAATTTTATACTTAGAGAGAAACATGGTAAAATAAAAATGGAATACCTCATATCCTCTGGAGCTATTTTGTATTCCAAAGTGTGGAGTACCAGGGTCTGGGCAGGTATTATGAGCAGGATCTGAAATTCACATAGAAAAAAAAGAAAGAAAGAAAGAAAGAAAAGAAAGAAAGAAAGAGAAAGAAAGAAAGAAAGAAAGAAAGAAAGAAAGAAAGAAAGAAAGAAAAAGAAAGAAAGAAAAGAAAGAAAGAAAGAAAGAAAGAAAGAAAGAAAGAAAGAAAGAAAGAAAGAAAGAAAGAAAAGAAAAAACATGAGTGTCAGATATGGTTATTATAAGGATTCCAATATTTTTACTAAAAGGCCTTACAAAATTGAGAAAATTATGTTTTGACAAATGTGTAAGGTATTTTGCATGAAAGTTAAAAATTAAATTGCTATTTTCATCTTCCTTTCACATTTCTTCTTTAGATATTACTCCTTAGTCCTTTACCAGATTCTAAAGTGCTCTGTATATTATTTTCTGTACTGGAATGAATATTCTTTCCCATTTTCTGGTCGAACATACTATATTGGCTGGTTAGTGATATACCATCTTCAATAACTACATGATCCGTTGGTTCTTAAGGATTCAATTAATGGCCGTCTCTTAGTCATCCATTACAATATCACAATTTCTTGAATTAATTTTCTTTGAGACTTCCAAATGAAAAATACATTGAATGCTTCAAAATTGAGGCATATGGTAGACCCAAAGTGACATTTTACCCTCTCAAAAAATGTACGAATTGAGCAATGAGGAGCATGTGGCTTTATTATTTGGTGTTCTCTAGCTGCTAGTATGAAAACAAAATAGCTACCTTGCAAAAACATTTGTTTTCGAGAGAAACTAACCTATGGGAGGGAGGAACGCCGTGTCTTAGTACAGAGATAGCAAGCGTGTAGAACAGTTTAAATGAAGCAGCAGTAAATGTGACTCTTATTAAACACAAACAGTGCTTCAATGAAATTATTTCTGAACATCTTTGTTTTTAAGTAGAAATCATTCCATTTCTTAGAAAGCAACCAAGACTGTAGATCATTGATTCCTACAAATATGCAGAACATCTACTCTTCAGCTCAGTACAGCTGAGTGAGAAAATTAACCCATCAATAAACTTGAGTCTGCAGCAGTGAGGTCTGAAGGAAATTGCTCTTCCTGGAAATGAACCCTTCTGGTATCTATGCCACTAATAATTTGACTTTTGACAAATACAACTTGCATCTGAATCTCTTCCATGAGACAGAAACTCAACCTAAAAATGCGGGGTTTAAGTCACATGGACAGCATCTTCTGACTTGCAAGGTTCATCGTCATATTCTCTGGTCACCAGAAGGTACTGCCCCACTCCTTCCACCACTGCTAGCGTGGCTGGTTCAGGGGGACGGACCGCGCACGGGAGCTGGGGCACCAAGGGGACGGCCGCCAAGCAACAGCCAGGCTGTCTTTCTGGTGACAGCTGTCTTGAGTGGGGCAGGAAAGGCATCTTCACCGACACTGTCTTCCCCTGCAAGAATGCACCTGCTCACTGAGGTGGGGCCATGGAAACGAGAGAGCCAAATCTGGCAGGTGTTTTTTTTTTATTCTTATGTTAATCCCCATACATTACATCTCTGGCAGGTGTTTTAACAGCCTCCTGACTTCAACTCCAAATCCGGCCTGCATGATTTAACCAGAGTAGCAGACGAGTGCTTCCACAGAGAATGATCTATGGGAACATTATCTGTGGACCCACAAATGATCAGATTTTAGAGAGAACGTCCTCATCCCCAAGCACCGCCGGGGATGTCTTGCAGTTCTTACCGATGCAGGTGGGCTGTGTTCCACTCCATGTGCCGTCGGCCTGGCAGGTTCTTCTGGAGGACCCCACCAGTAGGAAGGGAGATTTGCACTGGAAGAAGACTTCCGCCTTATAGGTAAAGCTTTTGCCACTCAGTCGCCCCTCCGCAGGGGTGCCTGGGTCTCCGCAGAACACAGCTGTGGAAGACAACAAGCAGTCAGCTCACAGTATGCGCCACTGGGTCAGATTAACTTATTCAACTTGTGTCACGAGCATCTGCAAAATCTTTGGGTGTAACTATTAGACCCATCAATGACTGAGGGGCAGAATCTGCTGTGAGCAGGGCGGCCTCGAATGTGAGCCTCTGCATCCTATAGCATGGCTAGCAGCAAGGGGAGAGCGGAGCACGCTCGCGTGGGTCCAGCGCAGTGGGACCCCGGGAAGGAGCATTGCTGGAGGACTTACGCAGACACTGGGGGACCTCTCCTTTCCACACGCCGTGGCCTTCGCAGGAGAGAATGGCGGAGTGGGAGGGCTGGAAGCCATCCACGCAGCTGTAACTTATGCTGGCGCCCCAGTGGAAATCCGCTCCCTCCACTTTTCCATGCGGCACTTGAGGTGGCTGACCGCACATGAGAGCTGTTTCCAAAGAACAGACAAGACTGAACGTCCAGGGCCCCACCCCAGTTGTAACACTCAGATGGCCTACATTTTAACTCCACCCGAATTACAAAGGGCATCCACATAGGGTTGCTTTCCTTTAATAAAAGGATTATTGAGGAAGACAGCAGATCAAAATAATAAAACTTTTCTCCAATATTTCTTCATTAATATAGATCACAACACATCACACTGTAAAAGAAAGCAGGATTGAACATGACATCCTCAATAGGAACAAGGCCAAGAAAGGAAGAGATACTCATATTCAATGTCTGTCTTTTCATGGTGGTTCCCAAGGACAAATCACTCATATGACATGAGCACAACCTTCTGGATGTATGTGTACAGATGGTAAACTATCTGCATTTTTTACATTTAAAGATAGCATATAATATCTAGAAGACATGGACTGTTGAACCATTTGCTGAATCATTAAAAACCAGGCAGATGCATGGTTACAAAGGTTCTGTGAGATACTCCCGGTCCGTGTCTTATAGCATCCCTGAGCCTGACGTTTATGTGGTGTAGAGCTGCAGAGCATGAACACAGTTCTCAAGGATGGCCAGCCCTCGGTGCTGGCCCCCCATGGCCCCTCCAGTCTGGCCATTACACCAAAGTGCAGGGGGCTGGGGAGCATTGTGGACACATCTTCCTGGGAGAGCCAAGAGCTTTCTGGATTTCCCAGCTTGGAGCAGGTTTGCCAGTGACAGAAGGCAGCAGGAGAAGGAACTTACCCGTATATTCGTCCTCACCTGGGTTTTCTCCTGCCTGCTCACACTCACACATTCTCATATGAGGAAGACACAGTCACACGCATAATCCCACGTGCACACCCAGCAGCTGGAAATGGGCCTTTCTACTGCCCTTCATCTTAGGCATGTTTCCAACCAATATTTCTGAGAATGCACATGGGAGGGGGCGGGGAACGAGTGCTCTGGACAGGAAAAGCAAGTGGACAGTCCTCCAGGCGGGAGCAGTAATGAGCCACGTGGTTCCACACAGGACGTGAGGAGGGGTCGAGCCTGAGACCAGTTCAAAAGGGGAGAGTGGTCTCATCTGGAAAGGCCTGGTTGGCCACAGAGGCAATGACCACTGCACTGACTATTAAAAAAGGAACCAGAAGTTGACAAAAACACGTGACGTCCCAGAGGCCAGACCATTTTATTTTATTTATTTATTTATTTATTTTTTAAAGATTTTATTTATTTATTTGAGACAGAGAGAATGAGAGAGACAGAGAGCACATGAGAGGGGGGAGGGTCAGAGGGAGAAGCAGGCTCCCTGCCGAGCAGGGAGCCCGACGCGGGACTCGATCCAGGGACTCCAGGATCATGACCTGAGCCGAAGGCAGTCGCTTAACCAACTGAGCCACCCAGGCGCCCGTGGCCAGACCATTTTATTGGCCACTGTCATCAACATGCTCAGATGACTAGACCCCTACTGACACTACTTTGTGAGTTTGTCAACATTATCTAATGCCCACTTTGCAGCAGGTGCAGCGTTAATGATAGCAGGTGGAGGAACAGGAGACCCGGTGATCCTTACCCCCTGGTGGGAGGGAAACACAGTCCCAGAACATGCCCGCGTCAGAAGGGAGAGGAAGCCGTGAGCTTGAGCACCAGGCTCTCACTGAGGCCTCCCACCAAGCTCCGCCCATGTGAGACCCAAGCCCCGTCTGTCTCTCAGAGCCCACTGAAGACGACATCTTCCTCACTACCACCGCCCATAGTCCAGAGTGGAACTCCCACAGAACTGTCTGTGATCCTAGGCTAATAAGGAGCAGGCACCGCATTTTTATGTTTGGGGCCAGCCATGCTCATGCCCCAGCTGTCTCCGTGGCCCTCCTGCCCTGCTCCGGCCCGGCTGAGAAGGAAGCCTGCGTGTGCTCCCTGCAGTCCTGGCGGAGGGGTCCTAACCATGCAGACCCCTGCTTTTGGACGACTTCTACCAGCCCCATCCTCTCTCGCCGTCAGAGCCCACCCCGCCACTCCTTCACTCAGGCCGCTAGACGGGCCTCAGCCTGCCCCGCTCTCCCTGGAAAGCCCAACAGCATGGATCATAAACGTTTTCATACCACCTCCATATTCCTGTGGTGGCTTCGGTCCCAGCAGCTGGACCCCCCAGAACATCATGGTACCAAGGTTCTCTGCCATTATTGGATGATTGGCTCCTCTCTCTGACTTGGAAGTCCTATAATTACACTTTCCCACCATATCTGCTGTAAGCCTTAATATAGCTGGGGTTAACAGGTGTATCGAGAGAGGAATGTGTTGGCATTTAAAACACAGACTTAGGGGCGCCGGGCTGGTTCAGTCAGTTAAGCATCTGCCTTCAGCTCAGGTCCTGGGATCAAGCCCCATGTCGGGCTCCCTGCTCAGTGGAGAGCCTGCTTCTCTGTCCCCTGAGCATGTTCTCTCCCTCACTCTCTCTCTCTCTCTCTCAGATAAATAAATATAATCTTAAAAAACAAACAAACAAACAAACACACAGACTTAGAGGTAGCATGCCTGTCATCTGAGTCTCAATGTCTCTTGTTCCTGATTTGTGTCCTGAGCCATTTACTAACTCTCTCTGTGAGTCGGTTTCCCCATCTATAAAACTGAGATTAAGGTATTAAGAAAATAAAGTGATTTTTATTTGCAAATTAGTTTACAAGAATTCCTAGCACACAGAAGGACTACATAAATGCTTGTGAATGCAGTAAAACATAACTCAATAAACACTTCTGTGTCCATGAATAAGACCAAAAAAGTATTGACACATACCTTTGCAGACTGGTTTGCTGTTATTCCACGTACTGTCTTTGGTACAACGGATGGTGGATGATGTGATGGGCTCCATGAGATAGCCAGGATCGCACTGATAGCTCACGGTCTTATTGAAGGTGAAATCCGTCCCAAACTGGATGCCATTTGCCAGGGTACCTGGGTCCCCACAGCTTATAACTAACAAGCAGGAGACAACAACAACAAAAAAAATAGAAAAATACAAAATTACCATTAAATGAATTAGTCACGGTTTCTGTTCAAGTTACTCCCCTTAAGCTGCTATTCCAAGTGATTAAGTAGAAAATTGTTACAGCAACACCGTCCTCAGACGACACTACTGACCGGCTGTCAGGAACAGTGTGTTTGGAATGTGATCAGAGAATTAAACATTTGTCTTATTTTCCTGCAAAATAATGATCTACAGAGAGAACGAACCTTAACTTTCTTTGGACCCAGCTTTACAATGACCAACTGAACTGGCCACTGAAAACAGTTTCAACCATATAAATTACAGAGTGGGGGCGCCTGGGTGGCTCAGTCGTTGGGCGTCTGCCTTCGGCTCAGGTCCTGATCCCAGGGTCCTGGGACCGAGCCCCGCATCGGGCTCTCTGCTCAGCGGGAAGCCTGTTTCTCCCTCTCCCACTCCCCCTGCTTGTGCTCACTCTCTCTCTGTCAAATAAATAAAGAAAATCTTAAAAAAAAAAAGAAAAAATTCAGGGTGCCTGGGTGGCTCAGTCATTAAGCGTCTGCCTTCAGCTCAGGTCATGATCCCAGGGTCCTGGGATCGAGTCCCGCATCAGGCTCCCTGCTCGGCGGGAAGCCTGCTTCTCCCTCTGACCCTCCCCCCTCTCATGCTCTATCTCATTCTCTCAAATAAATAAAATCTTAAAAAAAAAAAAAGAATGCACAATTTTCTGAAGGCATGCTATACTTCTATTAAAAGTTTCTTTTTAGGGAGCCTGGGTGGCTCAGTCGTTAAGCGTCTGCCTTCGGCTCAGGTCATGATCCTGGGGTCCTGGGATCGAGCCCTGCATCGGGCTCCCTGCTCCGCGGGAAGCCTGCTTCTCCCTCTCCCACTCCCCCTGCTTGTGTTCCCTCTCTCGCTGTGTCTCTCTCTGTCAAATAAATAAATAAAATCTTAAAAAATAAATAAATAAATAAATAAATAAATAAATTACAGAGTGAAGAAAGACCTAAAACTACCTAATAGCGTCATCCTATCAAACATATGTGTATCTTCTTTTTCTCTATGTATTAAAAAAATCAATACAATACTTTACAGAATAAGTTAATTTTTCCCGGTCAGGTAGATACCATGGTCATGGCCTCGAATGCCCATGACAGCGACCACCGACCTGTGCAGTCCGGGGCTGTTCCCGTCCAGGTCCCGTTGGCCGTGCAGTGCCGAGTCATGAGCCCCGAGGTCTTGTAGCCTTCCCAACAGGCATAGATGACCGAGCTGGAGAACAGGATGCCGTCACTGCTGACGATCATGCCATTCGTGGGCGTGCCGGGATTCCCACAGGACACAGCTACGAAGGACAAGGACACAAAGAGAGGGAGCCGCTACCAAAATGACGAAAGCCAGAGACCAAAGGTCATCAGCGTAACAGACGACATATTTATTTTTTTTAAAAAAGTAGGATCTGTTACTATGGAAGATGTGTAATGTGTATTTTACTTTATGATTCATACCGTTATTCTCTCGATGAGGTACAGATGGGAAAATCACATTTTCATATTATTCTTCCTGAAGTACGTTACTTCAAAACAAATTAAAAGATGAGTCGAAGCATCGAAAATTCAAAGCCTTGCTACTTAGAAATTTAACATGTTTATAATACAAAAAAAAGGATTTTTTTTTAAAAGGATCTATATGGTATTAGCAACTCAGAAGGGCCTCCCTTCATGTAATAGCTGATTTTTTTTTTTTTTTAATTCTGGACAAACCAGGTCATATTTCACAACTGCAGGATAATTCATGTTGGAACACAAGGGACGCCTGAGGAATATGAATGAGTATGCTTAAACTGCCTGGTGAGTGGTCTCATGGGCGTTGCCCCATCTAACGACAGCTGTGCTAATGGGCGCTGGCGCAGCTGTGATCCCTGCTTCTCTCCAGATGGAATCCATACCAAGCACAGGCATTGAGACACCAGCTAACAACAGGCAGGGCAACAGGTCTACACTCCACGCGTGCCCCTCGCGCGTTCCTTAGTCAGCAAAGCAAGGTACGTGGCTGCTGGGTGTGTATCACGGTGATGATTTTAACCCAGAATAAGGGGTTTTTTGCCTTTTGTACTTGAGTCCGTTTATCACAGAATGTTAAGTTTTTCTCTCTAGCCCTCCCACACGATGCGCCGCCAGCAAACATAGAAAGAATGTGACCTTTGGCTGGATTTTAGTAACAGGAATGTATCCTGAGACCATTTCTGAGGATGACCGAAATATTTACAAATGCTCTTGCCTCTTTAGTTGTTCCACTCTCAAACCTAGCCTTGAGAACAAAGATAGACTCCTCTTAAAAGTCAGAAGAAAACAGACGACAAAATGTGCATAGCAGAGAACAGCCACTATAGCAGACGTTTAGGGAGTCACCTATCATACCATGCTGAAAAATGCGCTGACCCTCAGGTTGGACTAGATCATGTCTGCCAAACACAAAGCATGCGTGTGGGTGCTTCTTCAGCTGTGCCCACGACACACATAACCACTCGATCACAACCCTTTTTCCCTGATGGATCTGCTGTGAACTTACAATCCCTTCTCACACAGATGGTTCAGCAGTTTTCTGGCTGTCATGTGAGATGATATCTATTTACTGATCGTGAAGCAGATGACACTTCACATCCCCTAAAGCTCAGAAGTTCTGTTATGGTTGTGGTATCAATTAAAATGTCATATTCCAAAAAACACCAAGAGGTTGGACTCGGCGAGGTAATTATTCATTCAACAAACACTGATTCATCATTTAGTATGTGACGGTTATTGTGTAGATGTACTAATGGAAAGCCTGACATAGAAGAGAAATGTATTGATTTAATTCATAATTTAGCAAACCAACAAGACAACCATGTTCTTGTATTTTATTCTAATCATATCTGTTATTAAAATCTGTGTAGCGATTTTTTAAAAGTCACCTGTGAAGGATAATGCTAAAGTGAGACAAGAGATTGGTGAAGATATTCAGCTTAATTTATAGACAGGTACGTTGGCAGTAAGGGGATATCCATCATGATAATGCCATCCTAATGTTTAGAAAGTCCCTCAAATACTGTATTCTACAAAATCAAATTCATGGTTAACTTTTTTTTTTTTCCTGATAGGGACACTTTCACTGATGGTTATGCTCATGAAGACTAGAAATTAGCCTCAATATGTCCGTGTTCATATCAATGCCATCATGATATAGGAGGACCTCCTAAAGGAAAACAGGAGCTTCCATTTATAGTCAGCAGAAGGGAAATAAGATTTTCTATAAGTAAGAAGTTAAAACTCTTTAAATACTTCTTTTGTTCTCATGTACATTTGGTTAACGTGACTCCTTTCAGTAAAAGATCATTTTCTTTTACTTAATTTATAATAAAAGAGCATTATACTTATGCCAAATACACTTATTGAGTTAAATAATTTTGGGTTTGAATCTTGGCTCACACAACTTAAGTAAACGTGAATGATCAAATCAAGTCCTTGATATGTAGTGTCTTCACTGTAAAATGGGTATAATAAAGTAACGTGAATGATCAAATCAAGTCCTTGATATGTAGTGTTTTCACTGTAAAATGGGTATAATAAAGGTAAATGCTCTTGGTTGTTGTAAGATTAAACATGCTGCGTGCAAAATGCCTAGAACGAATCTGGCATCTTAGCGGTAGTAAGGGTATACATGGTAGCTGATGCGTTGTCATTTTTGTTATAATCACTGTCATCACACATCTATTACCTGGATACAATGTAGGCTTTATCATAATCTCATGGGAAAGAGGATTAAGTGTTGCCTAAGGCAACTAAAACCAATGATGTAGTTATATTTAAGCAGCTTCCTAAGATAGATCCATTTGAAAGGTTCAGTCAGTGAGTCTATAATTAAAAGACTGGATTGCTAACAAAGAAAACATGATCTGAAATCATGGAAATATATTAGAAATATAACTTCTTTGACGTTTAAGAGTTTTTAAAATATTTTTATGTTTTTTATTTTGTGTTTTATGAACTCTTCTTTTTCTTTTTACCATTTATTCAAATGTCCCATCAGGATCTAAGGCTTTTGATAGATTCAAAAAAGGTAATTCATCAGGAAGGAGATACTCTCAGTAGACTGAATACATAATCATGGTTAACACTGGTGGAAATGCAAAAGTCACTGGTAACCCCCCTTTCTATAGAGAATATGTGTCCCAAAGATCCAGACCTATGATAACAAGAGAAAAAAAAATTGAAAGATACAGATTTTCCAAAAAGTTTTAAACATGTATGTTGTGGCGGGGGGGGCAGGGGTTAGGATTAGGCATATATTCCTTCCCATCATTTGTTGTTACAGTGAGAGTAAATTATACTATTATTACTCAACTTCCCATGATTTCTATACAATGCAGGTTTGGAGGTAGTCAATTTTGGGGAATAGCATATTTGAGAAATACTTGCCATATTGAAATATTTCTGCTTCTTTCTGTACACAGATTTTAATGGTCAAGTTTCTAAGGATTTTATAAGAAACACTTGAATTTCTAACTTTAGATAAACCAAATGCTATTCTAAAAATACTTGTATAGTCTAAGTTAGGTGTATTATGAAGTGAAATCCAATTAAGCTCTCCTAATCAAATAAATGAATTCATTTATGTTTTGCTGGAATAGAACTCACAGTGTTATATCACAGCACCAAAGTGAGATTTCTATGGAAAAACATCACTCGCTCTCAACTGTTTCAAATTTTTTTCACCTTTTAAATGTGCAAAGTAAAGTGCTTTTTATATCAGAAACCTGATACAGAAGTACAGACCCAAGTGAATGACCATTTATAATAGAATATAAATGTATTTAAATGAGGTTTGTTCTGCTTTTGGGAGCTATGTTTTCCCAACAAATTTGGTAAACTTTTTTTTTTTGTGGTGGGGCGGGGGAGTGGTGGGGCAGAGGGAGAGGGAGAGAGAGAATCCTAAGCAGGGTCCCAGCATGGAGCACAACACGGGGCTTAAGCTCACAACCTTGAGATCACGTCCTGAGACGAAATCAAGAGTTGGCTGCTTAACCAATTGAGCCACCAGGCTCCCTAATTTGGTTAACTTTTAACCAGTAATTTTTCAACCATTTCTCTGCTCCATTCTTTCTCTGTTCTTTTTCTTCTAGAACTCCAATTACAAGTATGTTAAACTACTTGATATTATCCCATAGGATATTATTTTTTTTCCTTTTTCCTTTGTTTTCAGATTGAATAATTTTCATTGATCTGTCTTCATGTTAACTGACCCTTCTGCCATTTTTAATCTGCTAAGCTCATCTAGAAGTTTTTATATCAGATATGGTATTTTTCAATTCCAGAGTTTCCATCTGATTGTGTTTTTATTATTTTCATTTCTCGGTTGAGATTTCCTATCTATTTATGACTCTAACTCTAAGTCTGTGAAGATATTTTAAATAGCTGCTTCAAGTCCTTGTGCATTATTTTCAACATTTGGGGCATCTCAGGATCAGGATCTCAGGATCAGATTCTAATTCTATGGTTTTGTTTGTTTGTTTGTTTGACTATGGGTCATATTGTTCTGAGGTCTGCATATGTAGTAATTCTTTATTGTATGCTGGACATTGTCAACAAAAAGTTGCCTGGATTATGTCATTCCTTCAAAAGATGCTGGGATTTGTTCTGGTGGACTTTTAAATTGGTTGTAGATCTTCTGGGTCCTGCCATCAGTTTCATTCTCTGTGAGAGGAGATCTATTCAGACTTAGTCCTAACATGTTTTTGCTCTTAGTTCTAGCATGTTCCTCTTATTTTAGGGAGTGGTACATATTCATAATGCATGGAGTTCTCTGCATCTGTGAAATGTCCTAGGTACACAGTGAGAGCTCTGACTGGCCAGATGTCCAGTGTTTCTCAGTAGGGTATGACATCTAATATCGCAGGTCCACTCTCAACTCTGCAGCCAAAGGTCATTGCATCACTGGTCTCACTCATGCTTGTCTGTCTGGCCCTCAGTCAGTGAATGCTCACCAGACTTATGGGGCTGTCCCATTCTCAGCTGGCCCTGTTCTGCAAGTTCTATTTCAGTAGCCTAGAATAATTTCTACCACATCACCTTACCAAGCCACCCTACCACCTGGGTTCCACTTTCCAACAGAATGGTAAGAAAAATATACAGAATGATGGGGTGATTATGGGCTCACCTCCCTGATTTCTCCTACAGAACATTGTCATGCACTGTCTGTTGTTTAATAAGATAATTGTCTCATATGTTTTGTTGTTTTATGGTTGTCCTCAGTAAGAAGGCTAGCCTATTGTCATTCAACATGTCATGGAGTGAAGTGGAACTCTTATTTAATTTTCATAATGTTTAAATATATTCTGGACCAACAATTCCCTTGTGTAGTACAGAGGGAAAAGATTAGATGGGGTGTAAATGTAGGTTACAAAATGCAGGTACAAAATGTATGTATAACTTTGAGGTACCATACTATAGAATAGAAAACACTCTGTTTTTAGTGAGAAAGAGATGCTATCATGCAAATTTTAATATTCAAACTCTACAGAAGGGGAGGGAATTGAGAAAATTGTGTCTGAGTAAGAAAAAGTACTAATTTAGAGTCCCATATTTCAGTCAATAAAAAGGTATCATTCTGCAGCTCACAGTGGCAGGTAGCATCCCACCACTACCATTCAGTCATGTTTGATTTAAGTCAACTTCTTTAGGGCCTAAACTTAAGATTTACACTAACTTGATTGTAAGGAGGTGACTCAGAGTCCAAAATTACCTTGGATTATTATATATACGTATATCTTTATCTAGGTGTAGATATATCCAAGATAATTTTCTACTCAGATGAGAATATATACAAACATATATATGCATGCACATGTATAAGATATGTATATATATTTTCATATATATATATGATTATATTATTTATATATGATTTTATGAGATTACAAATAAGGTAGTCTGATTGCATACAATATAGTTAGATTATATACATATATTATTTTCTATTGTTCTATATAATACATATAATAAAGTGAGAGATAGGTACGAGTAGAGATGGCGCAGTAGAGAAAATGAAGATTAAGAAAACGATTTATATTTCTGGTATTGATATTGCATGAGTTTATTCAAGTCGGTCAACTTGTATAGAAACTGTTTCAGACATGTAAAAATGGATATTTATTTTGTGTAAGCTTTTTGGACTCAAACATTAAGTAGTTGAGAAGTTTGTTTGCTAAACATTTTTAACATTTAAGTCTTACCTGTCTGAATTCTAAATCAGTTCCTTTTTGGACTCTAAACAAATTTGTGGTATCTCATCACACCTTTGCTTAAGGCAAGCATTGCCAATACATGACACGGTAAGTATTCATGGTCTTTTACTGTTATTACTGAGCTATCCCACCATGTCCTCTTAGGCCTCTCAAATATTAAAATAAAATATATTCACTCCAAAATATTATACAGACAATCACCCTAAGTTCTTTGGCAATGCAGTGTTTTGGACAAGGGCCACCAATAGACTGGAAATAACATGGGAAGTGAAGCCTCTCCCAGCCTGCAAGAATTCCCATCAGCATTTACACCGCTTCTCCTCACTGTTCCTTTTTCTCAGTTATTCACTACCAGCAACCACAAAACACCACCAAATCGCATAGAGATTATTATTAGATTAGAAACCTCTTCTAGGTTATAAGCATTCAAAAGGTAAGGATCTGTTAGATAACCTTTTGAATAGTCAGTATATCTCCATGTACCCAGTCATGAGTTTTGATGATTCTCTTATACATTTGGGGGAAAGTAGTTTAATGATACAAAGCTTCAGTCTCTAGGATTTCTGTGGAATGGTACCAGTCATTTTAGAATGAAATACATGGTTCCAATTGTAAAGGTTGACTTTATGACTTGAATGTACTCACCTTCACACACAGGCTGCAATCCTGACCACGAGCCATTGAGCAAACATGTCCGCTCAGGAGAGCCCCTCAGCTGGTAACCCATTTCACAGGAGAAGCGGAGAAGGCTCTTGGCCTTGAGTTCATCTCCAAGCCGGGACCCATGTGCTGGGGTCCCGGGATCACCACAAAATCCAGGGTCATTTCCTATTGAACAGAAACAAATATGGTGAAACATAATGTTGTTAGACAAGTTTATAACAGAGCTGTTATGTTCAAAGAGAACGAAGGCTATGTATTTATTTATTTATTTTTATTTATGTTAGAGAGAGAGAACTCGTGAGTGCACAAGCGGGTAGGGGGTGGCCTGGAGGGGCAGAGGAAGAGAATCTTCAAACAGACTCCCTGCTAAGCACAGAGCCCAATGAGGGGCTCTTGGTAGGGCCTGTTCCCATGACCCATGAGACCTGAGTGAGAACCAAGAGTCAGCCACTCAATCGACTGAGCCACCCAGACACCCCAGAATGAAAAGTTATTTAAATGTGTTATAGTCATACTGCATTCTGGAAATCTTGTGAGAAAGACTTTCTTCATCATAGTGCAAAGGTGAAAATCATGAAGAAATTGTTCCTGTATAACTAAACACAAACAAGCTTATCAAAATATGTGGATGACAAAAAATTGATACTCTGGAAGAAATAAAATTCTAGGAATAATGAACACAGGGTTTGTCCACTGCGTCAGTATGGATAATAAAAGCGAAACAGGATTAAAGTGTATTGGGTAATGAACAATCAAATGAGAGGTTTGATTCTTCTCAGTTATGTCCAGAGTTGTTAATTCACTGAGTTTTATTTAAGAACTATTCATGAAAAAATTAAGATTTTTTTTTTCAAAGGGCATCAATGTAATGATCAATTCCTGAGACAGGAAAGATGTGGAAGAATTAAGAGGAAGCACGGACAAGGAATCAGGAACGGACAGGGACAAACTGAGCGAAGGGAGGCAGGCCTCTTGGCCAGGGTGACGAAGAACTCCAAGAACTCCCACAAGAGGAAGTGTGAAGTGACTGGCGCTCGAAGTTATTGATGAGGATGAAGATGACCATATAGAACACCGGCGCATTCCTTCAAATAACTGTACTGTTACACAACCTTTCAAGTCCCTAATTAATGGTATCATTCCTTACCTGTACAGTGGGGTGGCGTTCCGCTCCAGTGACTGTCCTCTTGACAAACTCGAGTGCTGTTGCCTACAAGATCCCGGCTCCCTTTGCACGCATACTGAACTATGGCACCGAACGTAAACAGTTCTCCAGTTAGGATAGCATTGGCAGGAACCCCTGGATGGCCACATGATATGGCTGAAGGAAAAATTAAAGTAAATGAGTACATCAGTCCTGTTGAACTGCTTTACCTTGGTAGGTCTCCCACACAGACACCCATACAAACATCCCCTATTAATGAAAAGCAGCTAAACATACTGGCAAATTCCTGCAGTTCCCTGTGGATAACCAATATCATTTTCCAGGTGACACTCCCCCACCTTTGATATTCATGTACTACTAAAGACAAGAAGAGGGTCTGTCGACATTTGTTTTTGTTTCATTTTGTTTTATCTTGAGGTAGTTTTGCTTAAGAGAGAAATTTACAGCTAGGCTTTCAACGAGAAAGTTACTCTATCTACATCTTTTCCATTTGTCCTTAACTATAATCCAAAAAAGCAGTATGATACAAAAAGCTAGAAATTACATAGATTCATGAAAACTATTTCCATTATCTCTTCAGCTAATATGATAACTATATACTTGCTTGGCTCAGAACTCTGTCTTATCTCCTTATTCTTTCAGGTCATGGATCTACGGTGACACTTCTAACAATTTTTCTTTGAACAGGTGGCAGTTTAAAATGTTTAAGTAATAATAATAATAATAAAGAAGAATAATAAATTAATGATTAAATTTTTCCTCAAGTTACTCTATAAAATAATCTCAGTATTCCCATTCATTTCTTTAAAATCATGCCAAATCAGGCCTATAATCTAATCATAAATTATCTTTCAAAGAGGAAAACTCTGGAATCCAGATTAATGTAGGACACTGAAGACTTCTCTCTCCTTTTCTATAAAGTCCCAAATTAACAATGGACTTAATGCATTTGGCCAGACATGGAATAAGAACTTCAAATAACTGTACTGTTATACAACCTTTCAAGTCCCTAACTAATGGTATCATTCCTCACCTGTACAGTGGGGTAGCGTTAACAATGGGTTAACAATGGGTTAACAATGGACCAATATTGCTGTACATGCAAACAGCTGACTGGACTCAGGCTACCAACAAATTATTCAAAGGCCACTGATTTAACAGCCTAGACTACTTGCATTTGATCACTGTTAACCCAAAAGTGATCTCAACTGAAGAGGTTGGGTTAGAAGGTGAAAAGGCATTGAGCATCCCCATGAGTCACATTAGCCCTTACACTGATCCGGTCTTACACTGACATCCATTCACTGGTGAATGAGATTTTACCTAGACAGAGTCCTAAAAAGGAAGCTAATTAGAGCCAAGTCAGGAAGCAGTTGGTAAATGACAGTTCCAGGTGAAATTAAGAGAGAAAAAAAGATCAGTGAAACCATAACAGCAAAACTGCTCTTGGCCACCGCTCTAAAGCATGTACAAGGAAACAGCTCCTCTGAGAACCTGTATTCCCAGACACATGGTAATTCCAACTGTTAATGACAGCAAGTGGTGGGAACCAGCCACTCAGGAGAATGAGAGTCACTTACAACCTAGTTCCTGGAGATTTGGAGCACACTGGCATCATTACAAAAACTAATGGAAGACTCACATCAGCCTGGGAAGACGCAAAAGAAATGTTTGGGGAGACAAAGAAAGAAAAACTAATTTCTCTGAAAAATTCCCATGTGTGAAGGCCTAGAAAATCAGAAAGCAGGTAAAATTTGATGAAGATTCTAATACATTTACAGATGCATTTTTGATCATATGAGGCTGTGCATTTCTTTTGAAAGAAGTCACTCTTTCTCCATAGAAATTAATTATATTGTTATAATTTGAGACAAGGTTCTATATAGATTGGGAGGGGTTATGAGGGACACTGAATCACAGGGGAAAAAAAATTTGTCCAGGACTAATTTATTCTGAAAATGTACCAAAAACGCTGCAATTCTAAGGGGTAAGATAGATTATCACTTTTTTTTCCAGTAAATTCAATTTAAGATGTAATTGTCATTTCCCACATTCTTTATGCACACAAAATGAATACAAAGAAGATAACATTTCGATTTTAAGGATTGTTTTGTTTCTGAATGATTTTTAAAAGACCAAGGAGAGTCACCCCTTTTCCTAAACCGTCAGACTGTTGTAATAAGATGAAGTCTTTAAGCTAAAGGACAATATGCTTTTTCAAGTTAAAAGAAGGTAAGACTATACCCACTTGGGGAAAAGTGTATTGTTGTTAGTCTCCATGGTATAAAATACTGATCATGTTTTGAGGGAGGCCAGAGTGAGGATCTGTAATTTGTCTGCCCAGAATACTGCCCCCATTCTTTTAGGACAATCTGCGTTCCTCTTATTTAATCAGATGGGTCAGGAAAGAGAGACTATCAGATACTATCTTTTCTATTGTATTAACTCTTGGTGCCAGAACTGCTCATGAGACCTATATTAGGTCCATCAGGTTACTTGGCCCTTCTGGCCATAGAGCGTAGGTCAACAGATAGATACTCCCTACCAGAGCCCTTTGCCAACATTTCTGAATCTGGGTCCAGACAAAGTGAAGCTGAGAGGTGCAAGGTGTTGAGGTCACTAGCCACCATGTTTGAGCCATGTAGGATAAGCGTGTCTGCTGGGTTCAAGTAGAAGACAAGCAGTAATAAGTAGAGACAAGCACAGAATGAGTCCAAGTGCTGTCCAATACACTCAGGTCCATTTATCCCTGAGGCCAGGTATGAGAACACACCAGTGTCCCCTCTCCTTTTTGACCCTTAAACTAGTTTGAATTGTAGTTTGTGCTTTCTGGCCAGTCAATAAAGGTATCATATAACTTATACAATTTATAAAGACTTAAAATGTTGTTGTTATTGTTCTCTTGGTGGTCTTACGGGCTCTGAGGCACAAGAATCCAAAATAACCCTCACTTACCCAAACACTTGGGTAAAGAACGATCCCATAGGCCATTAGCCATGCAGGTTAAGGCAGAAGATCCCAACAGGTAAAATCCCTTCTTGCAATGATACATGACACTCATTCCATATTCAAAACTCTCGGGGAAATTCTGTTGCCCGTGACGAATGGCATTTTCCACAAAGCCTGGATCTGAGCAGTTCACCACTAGGGGTAAAAAAAAAAAAGGTAGACATCATTTAGATACACTTAGAAGTAAAAGAGAGCTGCAAAGAGGGGGCACGCTCCTCGACAACATCACGCGGGCAGCTCGTCATCACGCTGTCCTTCACTTCCTGCTTTGGGCCATTATGCTTCAAAAACTGTCAAGCGATCGATGTGCTACTCTGGCAATTTTAACGATGTGAGGTTAATTTCCTTTATTTATTTCCTAAGAAGAGACTTCAATGTGAAGTCTGAAAATAGTTTTCCTGGTTACGTTTTTATGTTATGAAAATGTTAAAATAGGGGCGCCTGGGTGGCTCAGTCGTTAAGCGTCTGCCTTCGGCTCAGGTCATGATCCCAGGGTCCTGGGATCGAGTCCCACATTGGGCTCCCTGCTCAGCAGGAAGCCTGCTTCTCCCTCTCCCACTCCCCCTGCTTGTGTTCCTGCTCTCGCTATCTCTGTCTCTGTCAAATAAATAAATAAAATCCTTAAAAAAAGAAAGTGTTAAAATAGAACCCGCTCAAGTTAGTTTCATTTAAATATTTTCACTCGGATGTAGTATTTTAGGGCTGTCTGTGGCACAGTCATTAATCACCCCAATGGCCACCTACATGTATTAATTAATGCTTCAGTATGTGTGCCTAAAGTCCCGTTTCTGCTGCATGTGGAATGCAAATAAAAATGACGATTCTTCCATCAACACTTAATAGAAATGTAAATCAAGCCCGCCTCTGATTGAAGCCTCTTCCTCCTTTAGAAACAGCCCCGCAGAGAACAGTCCGCTGGGGCACACAGGACAGGCTCTGGTTAATCTGAATGGCACTCTATTAGCCTGAATGCCTGTTGGCTTCTGGGAGGGAATTAGCAATGCGCTTCCGCAGGTGCAGAGGAAAAGAAAGCACCCCTGATTGTCTCATGCTTTGACCCCCACACCAGTGAATGAGACAGCTGCTGTGAAAACTGCACTCTCTCCAGATATTTCTGGCTCAGAAAGGGGCCCTGCAACTAATTCTCGGGCAGTCACTGCAAGTCACGGGTCCCAGCGGCTGGGGGCAAACCCTTTACTCTTATCTGTGCATTTGATGTCCTCTCTGTAGTGAGGAGGAAGGTGTAGGGCAGAAGAGAGGACTACAGAGACCCCTTTCAGTGCCACAAAATAGTATTCTATGCTTTTTAGAACAACCCTGAGCTTATAGAAGAAAGACTCAAGTTCTTCTGAGCCAAAACAAAATGTTTATGGAGCACAGACAGATCATTGTAAGGCTCCATAACGCACTACATCCACAATAAAACTATCACCAAACCCACTGAAGTAGCGGGAATTACCCACCTGGAGAATGTCTAATATACTTGAAAGATTAATTATTTTTTATAATGTGAAAAACAACTGCATAGGTACATTCTGGCATTTGGAGTCATGCATGCAGCCCAGGAGATAGAAATAGGTCCCTGGTCTTATACCTCTATCGGCAGCAAAGCATTTCCTTGGCCTGCGTGCTGAAGACATTGTGTGCTCGTGTCTGTGCTGATGCTCTTCTTGGGAGACCGTCCACAGCACAGTATCAGAGTCTCCGGCCGTGAGGGTGGAGGCGCCCTACACAGACGGATGACACTGAGCCGGCTCTCGGACGCTTCTGCCGGGACGCCCGACAGATCCCAGTGCTCACAGGACTCTGCCTGCCCCCGCTGAGCTCCTGCATTTCTCTGTTTATACTTTCATGGTGTGTCCCAGCTCTCCTTAGTAGAGGCGGATCGTGTGGTGGATGAGAAGGCGGAGCTGTACGAAGCTAGGGCCATCATGGATTTGGAGCTCGAAAGAAGGATCCAGCTGGAGATGACAGTACGAAGAATAGGGAGTGTGCTGCAGAGAGGTAGTTATTGCTGCAAGATGGATGAGATCCTGCTGCATCCCTCTCTCTGCAGGGTTGAGAATACTTGGTTTCCTGCCTGACGGCTCTGAAACCCCAGGCTGGGCTTCTCCCCGGTGGCCGCTGTTGCCCGTGGTGGAGGACAGGTGCGTCGCGGACACGGATGCCCTCAATACGGCGGCCACTCTGGTATCTTAGGTCGCACAGAGCCTCCTGGAAGGAACACTGGAGCTCTGGGTCCCAGGCATCTCCAGCACCCTTAAATTAGTGAGCAGTGACGATGCTTGACAATCATAAAGAGTCCCTGAGCACCAGTGGGGAAAACTGAACTGTTCCTTATGTTGGAAGAGTTGTGTCTACACATCTCCTAAATCTGCCCCTATTTTTTTTTTTTCCAATCTTATCCTATCAAATCGGTCCTGTCCAGTTTCGGTCAGACCCATCCACTCTTCTATCCCTTCTGGTTTATTTTGGAGGCTCCACTAGGAGATTCAGCTGTATCTCTCTGCCGGGGGCAGGGATAACTTGACTTATTTGCCCACAATGGAGGGAGGGTGTTCTGAAACAGTCCCTGTCATGGTTGTGTGCGAGTGCACTCTGCCTCACGGGAAGTAGGCTGCCTTCCAGAGGAGTTCGTGGGCACCCACTCGACCCCCACAAACAGCTCCTCCATCTGCTTCCTTCCTCCCGTTTTGTGTGGGATCCCCGTCTCAGGATCTGGTGGGCCGAGGCTCGTGTGACTGGCATTCCTGAGCTGCCAGCAAAGTTTAAGGACCAAGTTCCTTCAACTTTCTGGTCACGAGTGAAATCACCAATGAGGTTAATGAAGACAAGTCAGACCTGCTGAGAAAACCTGACAGTCTACTTTGCCACGTGGTGCCCAGCAGAGCGTAATGCATGGGAGAGACATTGATACCTCTTTGTGGAGCTCTTCACCTGCATCAACATCCCACCACCCCACACACTACGAGCCAGCACTTGCACTTGAGGTCCAGGTAGAAACACCTGGTGCAGAGCTGAATTCCATCAGCTAGAAAGAATGAGAAATATGGATATCATAGATATTTGGCTGAGCCTGGAGAAGTTCCAGAGAGTGCACAGAATGTGTTCCATGGGGACCTTTGGGTATGTCAGAGGGGAAGGAAGGACATTACTATAATGATCAGTAACATGCCTGAGGTCACAAAGACAGTTACTCTGGAACTAGGTAAGGAATACCCTCCTGTACCTGTCCAGTACAGCGTATTTGTAAAAATGGACGAGTATTTCTTGGTGACATGAATCCCAAAGGGATCCCCCTCCACTTTTTTTTCTCTTTTTTTGAGTGTACCTGCCGTAAGTCTTAGCTTCCAATAATATTTTATAGGCTATGTACTGAACCTCTTCTCTACATACACTCCTTACTCTTGGAGAAGTTTTTTTTAAAACACTCAAGCTAGGGGCGCCTGGGTGGCTCAGTCGGTTAAGTGTCTGCCTTTGGCTCAGGTCATGATCCCAGGGTCCTGGGATCAAGCCCTGCATGGGGCTCCCTGCTCGTGGGGAGCTGGCTTCTCCCTCTCCTCCCCACTTGTGCTCTCTATCTCTCTCTCTCAAATAAGCAAATAAAATGTTTAAAAAAATACTTGAGCTAACATATAGAGATAAAAACATTGCACATCCTATGACTTACACTTTTAAAAATATATTCCCTTTTAAACTTTTCTGAGTACTAACTGTCCTTTTTACCTAATATTGGCTTAAATCTGCTTGTGCATTTTTTTCAGGCCTGTCCTACTGAATTATTCCCACACAGCTGCAGTCAGACACAGTTTATCCAATAATGCCCTAGTCTGATTATTGAGCGTGTGGATAACCTGACTAATGAAACATTAGAACGCCAGTTTTGAAACATGATTTGCTAATTATTGGATCTGATTTACTTTACCCTCAGTCTCTATGAGTGATTCAGTTTCCCTTGGCATGCTGCACACCATGGGGGGCCGCCAAGCACTCAGACTCTGAGCCCCGTTCCCCCATCTGGCTTGGTCATCTGTCTGTGCAACATCTCATTAGACACCAACGTCATTAACTGCCTCTAGTTCGTCCTGTTCTGTACCCTCATCAGTTACTGGAATCAGCATCTGCCCCAGGTCCTTGATTCTGCGCATGATCCAAAGCAATAACCAAGTCTTCCTGGAAAAACTCTCTGATGACAAGGGTACATGACAGATTTCAGTCCCAGATACTTGCTCTAGCTGTTCAAAAATAGAAATTAGATGACTCCTTTCTTCTAGGTTATGTAAATATAAAGTAAAAAACATAACAGAATACTCAGGAGAGCTTGCCACAGTCACTAATAGCGTGGACCTGGGGTCATCTGGACAGTGAAACTCCTACAGTACTTTCATAGGTTTGTTGTGGATTTGATTCCATCTTATTATTTGGGACAATCTGAAAATTTCAATTGCTTCTGAACTGACTAAAGCAATTCTGAGTTTCATCTCTGGTTCTCAGAAACAATTCTCATAATGAATTCTTACATTCAACACAATACATTTCCTTGCATACTTTTTATATCCTTTACCCACTTATTAAAGTGTATTAATTCATCATCGATAAAAAGTTTGTAAGGTTTTCCTTGGCAGGTCTGTGAGATGATGATTATAGAACCATGTGATTTAACTTGTAATCCAGAATCTGGTTGGAAATCAGAAATCCAAAACGGAATCCAAAGTGCTTTTCAATCTTTGATGTCAACACTCATTCCGACAAGTCTAGTGTTCTTACTTTTAACCACTTTACGGAAGGACGGCTGACATGTAAGAAGCTGCACATATCTAACGTATGCAACTGTATGATTTGGGGATAAGTGAACATCTGTGAGACCCTCACTGCCAACAAGGCCACAAACATCCATCTCCTCCCAAAGTCTGGTTTTTGAAAAAAGTAGAAATAAGTAGTACTGACTTCTTAGCTAACGGCTTCATTTCGTGGAAGATACATATATTTTTTAATTTCAACATAATTCTTCAGAAAATCTGTGCTTCTATTTCTTTTTGGTCTTTACTCCTGCTTCTTCCATTTTCTTTTACAACTCATAAAAACCCGACCGTGAGCAGGAAAATAAGAAAATGATGCTTCATAACCTATGAATA